ACGGAAGTGCGATGTTTATTACTAATGGGGATGGGACGCAACAGCGAGTACATGGTGTTGGAGAAGTTTGCCTATCATTCTACGATTGTTATAAAGGTAAGTACACCCACTTAATCTGCAGCGAGCATTGTATGTGCCGAGCTTCAAATTTCATTTGATATCAGTTTCACTTCTAGTTAAGCAAGTAAACACAGTGATGTTTAACCAAATACGCATATACGTGTGGGACAACAAAAATGTCTTTTTCGGTTTAAACATAGTGCAAAAGAGCCCAATATGTCGGCATTGTCTATTGCTAAGTGGCATGCAAGGTTTCCTCATGCAAATTGTGAAACATTGAAGAAAACTGCAATTCAAGCAGTGAAAGGCATGGTCATCTCCGATTCATTGTCAACCGATAAGTGTATTTCGTGTTCAGAATGCAAGATATCTACGTCTGGCATACCTGAAAAAAGCACAAGTTAGGGCAACACGAAAATTTTAACTAGTCCACAGTGACGTTTGTGGACCTCTCCGGAATCATTGCATGGAAACAAATATGCAATATCTTTTATTGACGACTTTTCAAGATGTGCATTAGTATATTTTATGGCCTCTAGAGGCGATTCGTTAGCAAAACTTTTTTTTTCCTAATAGGTGGTCCAACCATGTAATGTCACTGGATTTACACTCAGGTCAGATAATGGTGGAAAATATTTTTCACATAAATTTCAAAAATTTTTTGCAAGAACAACAGCATTGCACAGCAATTTACCAGTCCTTATTCTCCTCATCAAAATGGTATAGCCGAGAGCTATTGGCGAACGGTATTTGACAATGCAGGGGCTCTTTTATTATCGTCAAAATACCAGAATCTTTTTGGGTAAGGGCAGTTGATACTGTAGTATGAACAAGAAATTGTGTACTAACATCTGCTATTAATGATCATAAAACACCCTACGAAATGTTTTTTGGAAAGCAACCCAGTGTTTATCAATTAAAAGTTTTTGGTTGTTTATTTATATCAAAAAATTAAACCCAGCAGCGCAAGTTTTTACCCAAAGGCAAAAAGGCAGTTTTTTTCAAGTCCTGCAATTATTTTATAGGATTTTGTGAAAAATAAATTTTATCGCTCTCTGAACGTGACATTTCACGAAGAACAATTCCCAAGTCTCGATAACGGATCAAGATCTGCTATTGTTTTGCCTTTTCCGGGCAATGATTCAGTGGGAGCTGTCACAGATTCAGTGGGAGTCAATAATGCACCAACAAGTGAAACTGATGCAAATGAAGTTTTGCCTACTCTTGAAGGCCCTTACCACCGACAGGGGGAGCTACTTCTACAATTTTTGATACTTGTCAAAGAGTATCATCAGCATTTGGTCCTGATAATGTGCAAATGGAGATTCAAGATACTCCAATCTACTTAGATACACGTGAAAAATACACAACTCACGATGAATTTGATAGATCTGATGCCATTGAGTCTTCTCTTCACACTCCAACTGCAAACAATCTGCAAAATATTTCTTCCCCCACTCCTGACAATTCGATACATTTTAAACCAAAACGTTCTACATCATACAAATCAAGAGAACAATCTGTAAGTGATGAAGAACATTCTACTGCTTTGAGACTTGGCATTCCTACAACTAATAGGACTGGTCGGATGATTCGAAGACCTGCATGGCACTACGATTATGATTTTTCTACTGATGAAAACTGTTTTTTTTTACAATGGCTGCTAGTGTCAATGGCAATGTTCCACTTAATTATGAGGAAGCAATTTTGTCAGCTGATGCTGAAAAATCGCAAGCTGCAATGCAAATGGAGTTCAAAAATCTTGTAGAAAATAAAACATGGGATCTTGTGGTTTTACCTTCTGGAAACGAAAGGCAAATGGGTTTTTAATATAAAGCGTAAAAGCGATGGTTCAATTCAACGATATGAGGCACTTTTTGTGGCTAAGGGATTTGGTCAAATTTATGAACAATATTATACTGATATTTTTCACCTACTAATAGTATGACAGCAATTCGCTCATTATTTGCCATTGCAGCACAGCATGGTTTAAAAAAGCGACAAACTGATATCAAAACAACTTTTCTGAATTCTATTTTAGATGATGAAATTTTCATTGAGCAACTTTGTGGTTTTGAGTCTGGTGAACGTAATGTATGCAAGCTCAATGTATTTACGGTTTAAAACAAGCGAGTCGAGCTTGGTATCAGTTTCTAACAAAAACTTTATTGGAACTTGGTTACTTAAGAAACTCTGTAGATACCTGTTTACTTTATCATCCTAAGAAAATGAGTTTTGATTGCTGTGTATGATGATGACATGATAATTTTTGATGTTGACAAAGTTTCAGTGCAAGAGCTGATTGCCAGTATTGGTAAGCGGATTCGTATTGAAGATAAGGGCGTTGCCGAATAGTTCTTGGGAATAAAAACTAACGTTGGACTAATCGAAAAATGGAATATGCAAAATTGCAAACCTGTTTATGAACCTGTGGGACTAAATTTTCAGTGCTAACTCCCTGCTCCTAAATTCATCGCGCGTGTTCAAGCCCGGTTACTCTTTCCTTTTATGTATTGCCTCTATTGTTAACAATTTTGTTCGGTTGTTTAACCTCGAGGTTGTTGATTTTCCGCAGAGAATTTCCCTGGCAAAACAGGTTGCGAACCTGTGAATTTGGCACTATTAATGATAAAAACTACTTTCGAAGAAACCTATTTTTTGTTGGGCCAAGTGAACAAAAGCGAAGCTTTGATAAGTATATAATAGATCCTTAGCCTCATATCAGGCCAGTCTTTTTGAGTCACTTTCAACTCAGGTTTATTCTGTGCAGGTGTTAGTTCTCAATTCCCAACCATCTGACTCTCTTTACTTCAAAATATAGTAATGTTTACTCTTCTATATCTAGAACGTTCCGAGGACTTTGACTGGATAATTTGATGAAAGGACTGTTGACTGTAACCTCGGTTACTATGATATTTTCGACCTTCTGATTATATTGTTTACTTTTACGTCTATGGAATTTAGCTTTGACAGTAACTGAATTCTGCTCCGATCATTTGAACATGGTAAGGAACTTTGTTTTCAGTTTGATTGAGTTTTTTGCTTTCCACGTAAATGAAGAAGCACAAAAAATCATCTGATTGGGTCGAGTGATATTTCAAATAAAGCCTGTTTAGTCGTGAAACGAAAGTTATTATAATTTCTTTTTAAATTGTCCCAGAATCGAGAGAAACTGTTTGAAATTTTTAACTTTCAATTCAATTCAACTACGAGCAACTAGACTTTTTAATAGAAAGATAGGCCATGAATTTTGTTTTACTCTTCCAAAAAAACTTTTCAAATGTTTTTTTTTTTCAGAGCGGTCCGAGGAAAAAAACTGTAACAATTCAAAATTTGACTGAAAAAAATAATTGAACAAAATATAAATTGTTTTGCATCATTTGTTAATTTTTTTGTTGCTTGAAAGGGTCATTTTTCTTAATTTTTTTTGCTGATTTTGTCTGTTTTACTGTGGTTGTTGAAAACAACTAATATCTAGGCTTTTCTTAAAGTTTTTATTACGCCCCGCATGATTATTAATAATTTGAAAAAAAATATATCCAGTATTTTCAAGGATTTTTGTCGGAACTTTCTTTGTTTTTTTTCCCCAGGAACTGGCTATCATTTTTTTTTTTTTTTATGTTGAATTTGATTTCTGAGTAGCATTTTTTTGCTCAGTTTCACCAGTAGAAGTCATGCACCATATTTTTACAATTTTTAAGAAAATCCATATTTTGATGACAAAGTTTCGAATTAGTTTCAAAAAGTTTTTGTTCCGTGTCGTTAATCTCTTCTTTTTTCAGCCACTCAGTTTTCAAATAGATTTATAGCTCGCTCGGTAGTAAAGAAATGTTTTTTTTTGTTGATAATACTTTGTGTTCACGGAATCCTCGAATCCTGCAAGTTTTAGTTTCAACAGTATAATCAATCATCACGGAGAAAATAACGAGAAGTGTAGGCGTAGGCTAACGTCTCGTCCAAAAATGAAATGGTTTTTGGAAATCATGCGGTGCTTACCCAGACCTTCACGCTGAATTGAAATTTAAGTGATGATTTGTTACTGTGGGAATGATTTTGTGCGCCAGTATGATTGGAATTGTTATTACACAATCATTGGTACCAAAGTTCTTATTGGTGTTAATCACGCAAAGAATTTGTGATACTGGGTCTGAAATTAAATCTTTGTGGTGTTCTGAATTTGTCAAACTTCAAACTGGATCTTATTTTAGATGAGTCCAACGGATCGTTTTGAAGTGTGGTCTCGCCAGGTCGCTTAAATATCCTTGAAGTACTTCAAGTGGATGAAGATAAAAGAAAACGTGCAAATACTTCTGTTTCGGGGCCAACTTTAAACGAGTTTTTTTTAACTGGACCATACCTCTAAACTAGTACCCTGAGTCCCATTTTATCATTCTCAATTTTTTGCATAGCTTTAAACTATGCCTACATTACATCCAATGGATATGTTAAAATGCACATTGAATCGCAACGTAAAGAGCAGAATTTCTTCAAATGTAAAAAAGTCCTTACATCAGCGCTCGACATGCTTTGTTAAATTCAATAGCATAAGTTAGGCTTGAGAACATATCATAGAGTCTTACCTTAAATGGCTTTTTTCCAGTCCTCCCCCCTTTGATTTTTCTGAAAATCAGTATGTGAAATTCAATTCAAATTAATTTTTCATGTTATAAACTGCATCAAAACCTGTCAGCGTGAACAGGTGAACAAATTTTGACAACATTATTCTTTCATGCAAACTTCGGTATTTTTGAGCAGCCTATTTTTGTAATTTTACCAGGGGGTGGGAAACTGGAATAGAGACACATAAATCTTGCAAATATGTTTTTGCCTGTTCAAAAAAGAAAGCAAACAAAACATTTTCGCTTTTCATTTCTAATAAAACAGACGTCCATGAAAGCAAGTTTTCGTAGCTCATTGTCACTTCGTTTGGTTCAAGTAACTCACCATCGAATTATGCGTAAAAGAATTCAAAATAAACTTAATTTTGTTTTATAGAATTGAAATGAATATCGTCCGGACCTTGGCGAAAGTGTCATCAGGTTTGTTTGTTTTACAGACTTTTTAATGATACCGTTCCCCTTAGCAACCATAATTTGTTTTAGTTGGAGGGAGAGTTGGATTGAGAAATGCCGCAGCTGCTGCAGCATCAGCACCCAAATCAGATAAAATTCAGTCAAAATCAGCGGCATCTGGTCAAGTTGTTGCTGTCATTGGAGCTGTTGTTGACGTCCAATTTGACGATGAATTGCCCCCAATTTTGAATGCACTAGAAGTTCAAGGTCATGAATCCCGATTGGTTCTTGAGGTTTGCACGTTTCCATTTCTGAGACTTTTTGCGGATTTTTTTTTTTTTGGCGTCAAGATGCTGTATCAGATGAAACTATTAGTTCACTTATGTGGTATTTGTGGATTTTTTGGTCTTTTCCTGGTGGAATTGTTTTCTAATGGGCCATAAAGTTTCTACAGCTTTGAAATTCGCCTGCAATTTGCCAGCTGCTTAGACAGTTATCGTCAAGGTGGAAAATTCAAATAATTGCCATTTGAGTTTTGATGACATAAGTCAACCTTATTGTAGTTATTAAACCGTGAAATAAGTTGAAGAGAGCATATTTCTTGATATAAACAAGATAGTAATAGCAATTACTAATTTGAACTGTAGGAAAACAAGTCGGATCAAGGCTTCACTTATGCACAAATTAGTTTTCAAATTATAACATGCAAGTTACATGCGGGACATGTCTGTCATAGTTGCTTTTTCATGGGACCACTATCATAAAATACTGCTCGTAAAAGTCTTCCTCCAAAAATGCCGGGATTAACGGGACCCATCAAATTTTGAGCTCTTTTGTTCGGCTTAGTATTTTTGATTGAGAATCTTACCAGGAACACTGATATTCAATGATGGTTTTCCGCGGAAATTGTATTTTTGTTTACTATAGTTTAATGTTAAGGTTGCTCAACATCTTGGTGAAAATACAGTGCGAACAATTGCAATGGACGGTACCGAAGGATTAGTCAGAGGGCAAAAGGTAGTTGATGTTGGGGCACCCATTACAATTCCAGTTGGACCAGAGACATTAGGAAGAATTATTAACGTCATTGGAGAACCCATCGATGAACGTGGACCACTGAATGCTAAGAAGTAGTTTTCTTGTTTTCAATTAAATTTGATCGGGATATTGTTCGAAAGATTATAGTTTAATATTTTTTACTGATTAGACACCTGCCAATTCACCAAGACGCACCGCCATTTGTTGAAATGAGCGTGGAACAGGAAATCCTTGAAACCGGAATTAAAGTGGTCGATCTCCTTGCGCCCTACTCGAAAGGTGGAAAAATTGGTAAGCCTTATTTTAGAAAACCATGTCTTGCTGTTATAGTTAATTATATTAATTTACTGAGTAGCTTTAATCACTATAGCTTATTTAGTGGATCAATTTTCCAGGTCTTTTCGGAGGTGCTGGTGTCGGTAAGACTGTGCTTATCATGGAACTGATTAACAATGTAGCCAAAGCGCACGGAGGATACTCAGTGTTTGCGGGCGTGGGAGAGCGAACAAGAGAGGGAAATGATCTATACCACGAGATGATCACAGGAGGAGTCATCTCCCTGAAGGACAAATCGTCAAAGGTTAACTAAGATTCGACTAACATAGTTAAGACTTGTGTAGGTAGTGATGATTTTGACAAGATCTTTGGATGAGAGGGTAGTAGGGTACCGCACTGGGGGTGGTTTTCATTGTCTACTTAGTAGATGGGGGTGGGGTTACCTCTTTATAAATGGTTACATTGGAATGCGAGAGTAATCAAAGTCCCGATATTTGAATTAAATTGTAGGAGAATTTCTTAATCAGATTGTTCAATCATGAATAGACTTTTTTTTTTCAAAAACAAAATTTGCTCACGCTCTAATTTGGTTTCGCGGTTTGACTTTCGATTTGTTTCAAGTTCAGCTCATTTCTTTTGCTATCGACCATCGAATGGGCAGTTTTTGAGTATGGACTACTTTTTTGTTTGCTTGTGTTCATTAAATTTCCCAACTGTTTGCTGGCTTATTTTCTTTCGTTAGAAAATTTGTTCACGTTCAATTTTGATTTTTCGCAGTTTGACTTGTGATTTATTTTTAAGTTCAGTGCATTTCTTTTGTTAAAAGGAATGCAAACTCCACCATCGAACAGCAAAATTGTGAAGGTCACGAAAAACGTGATCGACTTCTAATTTTGAAAAGAGAAATTAATTATCAGATTTCCCGGCGAAATAAAAGTTTACCTATTGATCCTGTTTTCTCAAATCGGGTTAATTTTATCACAAAAGTATCCACCATAAATTTTTCTACAATTTCAAAAGAGCTTTAAGGCCATCTAATTTTCAATTTGCAATTCAAAACACATTTGAAAAAACAAGTAGTTTTTTTTTAGTTTCCTTGCGTCCATTACTGTTTTCCAACTGTCAGTTGGCTATGTTTGTTGAATAAAATCTGGGCGATAATCAGTCGATATCTTTTCTATCGTAACATTTATCTGAAACACCCTGTAATTTGCGATTAAACAAAATTGTCAGTGATTTTTCCGACCACTGAAAGTGGGAATGACTTGGCTTTGTGTGTGTTTGAAGTTTTTTTCAAAATCAGGTATCACAAGTGTTCGTCAGGATGAAGGTCCAATCACGACTGAAAGAGCTTCAAATATTCGTCGCTATTGAAGCTTTTTTAATTCTGGATTGGAGTGACAAAAAATCAAGAAGTTTTCTCAGTGTCGATATAAAGGGGTTTGAGAAGTTAGCTTTTAAATCTAATTTCGAGCAAATAAATGCCCAACGAGTAGAAGTTTTTACAGGAAACGTTCTTTAAGCCGCCAAAAACCTAGCTATACTCCTAAAAACCTAGTTTTTGAAGCTTCAATTTTTTGAAAACAGTCGATTCTGTCTAATTCTAATTTTTACTAACTAAGTTTTTATCTAGTTCCTATCGCGCGCAGAAAAGTGACATAAATGATATAAGTTTTTTTTCAATATAGATTTTCATGAATGTGGTTGGAACTCTGTGCTACGTTTCGACCGGCTACCCACGTTACTTTTTCGCGGTTTGAATTTTGATTTTTGTAAGCTCAGTTCATTTTATGACAACCATTTCCTTTGGCATATTTGTGTTCTGATGATTTGGCGTCTAACCACGTGTTGTCGGCTTAGTGAACCCTTGCAAAATATTGAAAGCTTGTTCAATGCTAGTGGCTGTGTTTGTCGTCTGTTTTTCTGAGATGGAGTTTTTTGTATTTCCTAAATAGTGATGAGTTTTTTGTGACAACCATTTCAATTGGCGTATAACCTCGTGTTGTTGGCTTAGTGGACGCTCGGAAAACACTAAAAGCTTGCTTAATGCGAGTGGTTGTGTTCTTCGTCTGTTTTTCGATATTGATTTTGTCGTATTTTCAAAAAAGTGTTGAATTTTATTACAACCATTTCTTTTGCTTTTAGTTTTCGGATCAGTTGGGGTGTAAACACGTGTTGTTGGCTTTGTGAACCCTTGCACAAAGTTTGTTAATGGCTAGTGGCTGAGTTTGTCGTCTGGTTTTCTGAGCTGCAAATTCTCGTATTTTCTAAATAGTGCTGATTTTTTTTATGACAACCATTTAGTTTGGTTTTGTTTTTGGAACAATTGGCGTCCAACCACTTGTTGTTGGCTTAGTAGTTGCTCGAAAATACTAAAAGCTTGTTTAATGCTAGCAGTTGTGTTTCTCATCTGTTTTTCCCTGATTTGTTTTTTTCGTAATTTCAGTTTTCAGGTGATTTTCATTTCACTGACCATTGCAATGGTACGCTTTCTTTGTTGCGCAAGTGATGCGAAGCTCGGCTTCACTTCTGTGTAAAAAAAACTTGAAATTGGGTATATGAAAGTTTGAAACTTTAGACGCCCGAAAACAGAAAATTTGTTTCTAATGGTGATCTAAAAAATGATCTGCATCTTGGAAAAATAATATATAAAGTGATACATTGTTAGTTATGCTTTGGAAACAATTTATTATTATTATTACGAAGAGTGGTCCAAGATTTTGTTCAGCAGACTTATTTTAGCTAGTTGAAACTGAGAATTAAAGTAAAGTTGTTTAAAATTTTGGTGTTTTGGCTGTTGAAGCTTTGAATTACAATTTAATTTAAGGTCACAAAATTTTCACCCAACAAAAACAGGAAAAAGATCAAGAATATGTTTTTAAGAATTAGTTTGGGAGAAGTAGACAATTTTTGATAGTTCAGCTCCGTTTTTTTTGCTTAGTAATTATGTGTCTTGTGTTCTTTGTTACTCTGTGCTCGAAATCATTTGTATTCAGCTAAATGATCAGCTAAAGTTTTTCAGAGCCGATTCGTTTTGTTTAATTCATAAACCTTTAATTCGATAGGTACCTGAATTTGATCTCAATCGATAATGTTTGCTGGAAACCAAAACTGCAGTTAAGTTATTTTTAAGTTACTGAGTGATTTTAGCAAATTTTCAATATGTTGACTGATGTTTCGAAGAAGCAATTTCTTATAGGTAGCGCTGGTGTACGGACAGATGAATGAGCCCCCAGGAGCACGAGCTCGAGTAGCTTTGACTGGACTGACAGTTGCGGAGTACTTCCGAGACTACGAGGGACAGGACGTGCTGCTGTTCGTTGACAACATTTTCAGATTCACCCAGGCTGGTTCTGAGGTGTCTGCCCTGTTGGGTCGAATTCCGTCTGCTGTGGGGTACCAGCCGACTCTCGCCACTGATATGGGTACTATGCAGGAGCGAATCACAACCACAAAGAAGGGATCAATCACATCAGTACAGGCTATCTTCGTGCCAGCCGATGATTTGACAGATCCGGCGCCTGCCACCGCGTTTGCCCATCTGGATGCCACCACTGTGTTGGACAGAAGTGTCGCTGAGTTGGGAATCTACCCAGCCGTGAATGCATTGGACTCCACTTCGCGTATTATGGATGTGAATGTGGTCGGAGAGGAGCACTATAACACTGCTCGAGGAGTACAGAAGCTGCTGCAGGTACGATTAACTAAATCCGAATTAGAATTCGTCTTCAACATTAAATGGTAATGTTTTTAAAATCGAACGATATGATGCACTTCAAACAGAGTTCCGTGATATCTGAACTTTCCAAACTGGTGCAATAAAACCAAAATAAGTTTGCAACGTGCTTGTAATTACAAGTACAGCGAATAGATTCAGACACCATACTGCAAATATAGATGAACAGTTTCGCATAGACCGCAATCATTTCAATGAAAGTATTTTTTGGATTAAAAATGCTTATAAAATAAGATGAAATATAGATCGTCGAGAATTTTAGGCTAGTGAGATAAAAAAAAATTGTTGCTAAGTACTAGCGTTTTATGAATAGTTGTTTCAACATCTTGAAACGAGAAATGTGTAAGGCCGTCACATTTAAAATAGTTGCTAAGAATGTCTACGAATGAGGTTTGGTGAAATCAGTATGGGCTGATTCTTTGTTTCATGATTTGCACTTCAAACAGAGTTCTGTGATAACTGAACTTTCCAAACTGGTGCTATATAAAACTGGATTTTAAACTACTTTTACTTTATACAAAGCCAAAAATAAATATATATCCAGAAACACCGACGTTCAACTATCTTAGACGGATTACTGCATTTCGTATTAATGTCTCTATTAGTGAACCTTATACGGATGCTAAATTGTTAACAGAAGCTTGAAGTCAACTTTCTGTATTTCGCAAAGAAAGCCTAGATTTGCTTTACACTTCATTATTTGTTTTTCATAGCTCTCTAGGTTTTTTTGTATAAGACCCTTCACACTGTTCTAAGACCCTTCAAACTAGTTGCTACACCTTTCAGTTTATGATTAGAGAAATTTGGATATTGATTATCTGCATTTCGTCTTAGCCCATGTCTGTTATATCGTCTAACTGAGATTTGCTAAATAAATTTTTGAACTTTTTGTCAGCCGGATTGTTTTATTTGACCGGTCTAGAGATAGTTCAACATAAAGTTTATTATCTTTTTTCTATTGCTCTCAAAAATTATTGTTCTGTATATTTGCACTTGCGAGAGCAAGTGTGTTTTTATCGGGAACAAGACTAGCTTCGCAAGTGTTCTAAGACCATTCAAACTAGTTGCTCAACCTTTCAGTTTCTGGTTAGACAAATTTATTGATTATCTGCATTTCGTCTTAGCCCATGTCTGTAGTATGGTCTAACTGAGATTTGCTAAATAATTTTTTGAACTTTTTGTCAGCCGGATTTTTTTATTTGACCGGTCTAGAGATAGTTGAACATCAAGTTTCATCTTTTTTCTATTGCTCTCAAAAATTATTGCTCTGTATATTTGCACTTCGCAAGTGTTCTAAGAACCTTCAAAGAAGTTGCTCAACCTTTCAGTTTCTGATTAGACCAATTTTGATATTGATTATCTGCATTTCGTCTTAGCCCATGTCTGTAATATGGTCTAACTGAGATTTGCCAAATAATTTTTTGAACTTTTTGTCAGCCGGATTTTTTTTATTTGACCGGTCTAGAGATAGTTCAACATCAAGTTTACCATCTTTTTTTCTATCGCTCTCAAAAAGTATTGGTCTGTTTATTTGCACTATATTGTTGCGATGCAATTGTTGTGCCAAAATGTGTTCATTTTGATCCAGCTATTTAGTACAGCCAATGCTATGGATATCAACACAGACTACATTAAAAATAGCCTTCTAGCTTCATGGTATCATGTTTCTGTAGCGTAGAGGTAGGGAAAGAGACCAGCAGCAAAATAAGAGGGTTCGAACTTGGGCAAGGTCGGATTTTTTAAAGAATTTTTTCGTATACAAGTTTAAAGGCGTCCGCTTTACAAATTGATGCATGTTAGTTGGTAAATTTCTTTTCACATTGACTGGTACTGCTAATACATCATAATTGGCTTGCGTCACTTAGCAATTATGTAGAGTCATAATTGGCGTGCGTCACTTAAGAAATTTTGTAGAATCAAAGTTTTAATCAATCAGTTTTTTCCAGAAGCGTTGTGGGTCATATTTTACTTGTGTATGCGTAACTTCACCTGTGTTAAACTTGCGAAGCGGTTGTATTAATACAAACCTTTTTTCCAAGTCACAAGAAACGTGCTACTTTTGGCGGCACTTTTGAATCGGTAGGCTGCGGTAGCAGTATAATGTCATGTGCTTTAACATTTGATTAGTAAAAAGTTAACACAGTTGATGCAATTTTAATTCAAATGAACCCAAAAAAAATATTTTCAAACAGCAGTACAATAATAAAAAGCTCGATTTCAGAATTTTCAACTCAATGTAAATCACATTTTTTTGAAATATCGTGATTGAACAAGCAAAGCTTGTGTGATACTATGAACTCTTTTTTCCAATCAAAGCAAATTTTAGTATTCATTTTGATTGTGTTCATTTTGACCAATAACCAGCTATTAAGTACAGCCAATGCTAAGGATCTTTACAGACTATTATATATAAAAAGCACTTCAGCTTCAAGGTATCATGGATATGTAGCGTAGAGGTAGGAAAGGAGACCCGCAACAAAAGAAGAAGGTTCGAACCTGGGCAGGATTCTTTCGTATACTATAATTGGCTTGCGTCAATTAGCAAATATGTAGACTCATAATTGGCGTGCTTCACTTAAGAAATTTTGTAGACTCAAATTTTTACGCATTCACTTTTTCCCAGTAGTGTTATCAGTGATATTTTGCTTGTGTTTGCCAAGTGCAACTTTGCATCTGTGTTAATATATATTTTTGCTTATGGTTTCATGCAAAATTCTGTATTTTTGTATTTGGTGTCCCTTTTGCGGTAGCGAATTAGCAATTTATTATTAGATGTAGCTTGGTTCTTAGTGGCTAGTTTTTGGGCAATTTAGGCATTAGTGGCTAGTGCGTGAGACTCAAGTTGCTGTGTTGATTCTTATTTCCTTGTAATATTTTAAATCACTAGCTTTAGGGAGAAAGTCTGACTATCGAAAAGGATATTAATTGTCAGATTTCCCAGCGAAATGAAAGGTTTTTCTATTGATTAAGTTTTCTCAAATAGGGTTTATCTTAACAAAAAATTGTACATCGTTAATTCTTCAAATCAAAGATCTTTAAGGCCATCTATTTTTTTTCCGAAATTCTAAAGTTGAATATTTTCGAAAAAACCAGTCAGTTTTTTTAAGCTTCATATCATTGATTACTCATTTCCAAATGTCAGTTGGCTATGTTACGTTTTTTTAGAATCAAGAGTGAATTTACACTTAGAGAAGATTTTTTTGGAATATAATTTAATTCTGACGTGCTTTATTTTCGTAATGTTTAAAATTCACATGTAGCCAAGCATTTATTTGTAGCAAGCCAACGAATGGTTGGTTTAATCTTGCAAATAAAGACGAAATTTATTTAAAGCTTGAAGCGAGTGTATTAGTTATGAACCGAAGACCATTAATTCATGCTCATGGTTTTACTTGACTCGTTATTTGGCTTATGAAACTGTATATCCCTTTTGAAGTATTCAAAGTCATAGAAATAAGATACTGGTACAACAAATGATAATTTCTAGGACAAATATGTTGAGAAATTATCCAAAAGTCAACCTAAAATCTGTTGCTGACCTGTTAATTCGTTAATTTCGTGTTCTCAAATATATCGCCAACAAGACCACTGTCTCTCGGCTATACAAGCTGACCAATAACACTTATTTCACACATGCACCATTTTTTACGCGTGAATTGTACCAGAAATCAAAATTGAACAGGTCTTGCTTTTATTATGGGTTGAAATTGCATTTGTCTCTTTTGATCTACAGTTGTATCAATAGTTTTGAACTAATTTGCCAACGTTGCCGTGGTGCGAATCCAATTGCAGTATTGATGTTGTGGTGCTGTGTTTAGGACTACAAATCTCTGCAAGACATCATCGCCATCCTGGGAATGGACGAGTTGAGCGAGGAGGACAAACTGACTGTGTCCAGAGCTAGGAAGGCACAGAAGTTCCTCTCACAGCCGTTCCAGGTGGCAGAGGTTTTCACGGGCATCGAGGGCAGATACGTGCACCTGAAGGACGCCATCAAAGGCTTCCAGGACATTCTCAGCGGTCAGTCAGACAATATTTCCGGTGGTTTGAGTTCAATTCATTGAGTTCTGCAAAAGATTGTGGACAACATAACATAAATACGTGAAAAATTCATTATTGATATTATACATTTTTAGGGTGTTTTTTGTTGTCCATCTTTAGGTTACTTTTTTGTGCATATTTAATCAGGAGTTTTTGTCAACATTAAAATTTAACACTATCTATTATCAAGGTTTAAGATTGTTAATTGATTACAGGCGAGATGGACCAGTACCCCGAGGTGGCCTTCTATATGGTAGGCGACATCGAGGAGGTGAAGACAAAGGCAGAGAAGCTGGCGGCTGAGATGTAGTGTGAATGATAGGACAAACAAAACATATATTGAGGACAGCAACACTTACCATGAAAGAACAAATGCCAACTAGTCAGAGGGACGATCATTCTTCCTACCTATGCACATACGTCACAGCAAGCAAACAGCTACCCTTAAACGGTCCCCTTAAACTGAATATATCAATTGAACGTTTGAAACTGAACAACCAACTAATAATGAACTGTAAAGACGATCCTCTATAGTAATTGGACCACTAATGTGATTAAAGTTGATGTCAAGTGAGCTAAACATAACCTAAAGTTTACACGACGTTACTTGAACTTAAAGGTTTACAGAATTAATTTTTCACTGAATCTGTTTTAGGACCTTGAAACTGATTTTTTTTTTAGAACTTACAGTAGATTGAACCAGCTTGACGGTAACAGCTGTTACAACCTCAATGGATCGGTTTTTTCCAAACAATATTTGCGCCTCAAATAACACTTGCTGGGGGCACGTTGAAGTTAGATCAAAGCAATTTCAATCATGGTACAAACTCCGAAAATAGCTAAATCAAAATGACAAAAATGAATGTTTCGTGAAATGGAACGAGTATTTTTTTGTATAACATCGATGACTTATATATTTATTGCCAGCAGTCCTGTAGCTACATTGAGCTATGACTGTTGTTGAGATTGCTCGTGTCGAAAAATGGCAGTCAATTTATAAGAAATTTTCTGCGTAATTTTTACATAAAATGTTCGCTTCGCTTTAAATAATCGCGTTCTGGTTTGAATTTTTTTTCATCCCTGACATCTAAGCTGTGATTATGCAAAAAATAGAATTTTCAAAGCGGGTAGGGAATTGGACGGCCTTTTCATGTCAATAAACAAATTAAGGAAACTAATGTCGACTGCTCAAGTCCTGGGTTTGCAAATTTGTGTTATCGGGATTTGAAATTTGATATCTATAACAACTAAGGGTTCGTGCGAAGTCCAATGTTTGAAACTACGCATTTCGTTCAGCATCAGAAATCAATGCAATAGATATCAAAGACGTACATCCAGGTTTAGCTGGGCTTCTAGTTGTCTTCCAATTTTTTCCTCTTATGAATTGTATCGTAAATAGTGCTGAGCTCTGCTTCGTTTTTGTGTTGAGATTTGTTTCTTTTTGTAAGTACCGATTTCACTAACAAACAAATATGTTGTCAGATTGGTGGAGGGATGTGTTTTAAGTCTAAAAGCTCTCAGACACTTTATAACCTTCAATGCCAGAATAATCAAAATCATAAAAATCCAAAAACTTGTTTACTAGCTTTTAATTGAGTTTTGATTCAGTGTAGCGACCAAAATTTCATGATTATACGCTGATAATGTCATTATGACTACGCGATAGCTTTCAGAACGTTTTGATTTTGAAAAGTTCCGATTCAAATCCTTCTGCTAGTAAGTTATGCTAGCAGTATTCGCAATAATGCTAGCGCAATCGAACCCAGCAGTTGTACGTAAAACACAAGAAAACTTTAGGTTCACCCAGAAGAAAACGTTGCCAAGACCTTTGTAAGTTACAAATAAATGCAAAAAAGTAGCAAGAGGCTTTTGGCGAAGTCTACTAAAAAGTTTCGTTCTCCACAAAGTCTAACTCAAAAATAGAGCATGTGAAGTTTTTGTAAAAAATCATCGAATTTCCTTTTTTAAGAAGAAGTTTTCGAATAATTAATCAATTTGTTCGAACAAGGCAAACGTAAAATTGGAACAATAGCTACTTGGTGCTTTTACTTGATTTTAAAATTTTAAACTTAATAATTTTCTCTCCTATTACCTCTTTTTGTTGAAAATGCTTAAAAAAATCATATCAAAAAATGAGCAAAATTCGATTGATTTTTCGCGTACGTCAACCACAAAATGGTAAGAGCGGCAGAAATTGTAAACTCTTTATTTAGTGAGCTTTTTTTCTACATGTGGATCAACCGGCTGTCTTGGTTATCAACAAGGATTCGAATAGGTTTCTGACAATGTTTTCAAAAACGAAATGCTCTATACCAAGATTTGTTTAAAAGAATAATGCAAAAAAAATAATTTGCTTAAATCTATTTGAAGTTGTTTATTAAACATGTTCGAAGTAAATTTTCTCCTCAAGAGTCCAATCAGCGTTCATTAAGAAAAATTATTTAGTCCCGATTATCGGAAACTAAAACATAATTTGAAATAATTTTCCCAAGGTGGAGAAATACTGGTCTGTTTATTTTTGACATTTTAACTTAAATTTAGTGAAAACTTATTTGAATTGCAATCAATTTTTCGAAGAAAAATTTCAGAAGTTTGATTTAAAATACTGTAAGAAGCCATCCTTACCTTGAAAAACACACTTTTTCAAAAAAAAAAAGTTTTTTTTTCACAAAGTTTTTGTTTGTTCTGATTTCTGCGCTGCTTTCTGTGCACCGGGAAAGAACAGAGTCTTAGGGTTGCGCAACAAAAATAATAATTTGAAAACTTCAGGGAAAAATTTGGTCTGAACTTCTGTTTTTCAGAGGCAATTGGAAAAGAACTTAGACAAAATTGAAACGCTGACATCAAAAAAGATTTTTACGAAAACTTAAACGCTATATTAATTAGTTTTCAGAAATTGAGGCGCTTTTTATCACTTGATCCAATACTTTTATGTGCATAAAAAACTGCAGGGAAGCTTAGACAAACTTTCTGAAAAAAATATAACTTTCAATTGTTTGTTTTTGAAAATAAAAATTGTCTTCATTATTGATTTTGTTTCTCATTTTGTCTGGTAGTTTCATTTTTTGCCATTTGCGAAGCAACGAATTGTTTTTGTCTGAAAATAGAAAAATTGTTTTAACTGACAATCCTTGTGATTTTTGTATGGCTTGCTCAAGAAGCATTCATGTGGCGTTAAGTTCTGATTGGTGAACAACTTTTAAGCTTCGTGAGATAATAAATGAGAAAGACAAGTAACGAGGACAATTTTGATCAAACAGAGTGATAATTTGTTTTTTCTTTTAGTTTTTATAGGGTATTTTTTAAAAATTATTAAATTAAAATTGTTTCAACTGACATTCTCTGGTCCAATTTTGTAAGTTTTGACTGGCTAGCTCATGAAGTAACGAGGCGCTCAAAGGATTGTTTGCTTAACCAGAGAAAGAATGCATTTCTTCTAAGTTTTTTAGGATATTTGATTCCACAAAGAGATCAATTAAATTTCAACACCACAGAAAAAAAAACTTGAATAGAGTTGTTTTCTTTTTTTGAAATAAAAAAAAATATATATCCACTATAGAAACCGATTATATGCAAAAATAATAATTTCAGTAAATTGTTCCAAGTACTTTGAAATCTTCGTGTTTTTTTACGGATTTGGTATAAAAAAAATTAAATAATTTCAAATTTTTTTTGGAATGAATGTATATGCTGATTTTTTTTTCTTTCGGACCAATTAAACAAAAACTGACAGAGTAAGGGTATCGATCCGGATACCTTTTGACTTCCAAGCGAGTATGCTTGAGCTAGACTAAAATTCTGAGTGCATCGTTTCTCGAACAGTACCTTGATAGTTTAAATATGCGAATTATTTATGCGTGGCAAAATATTTGCTCTCATAATCTTTCCAAATTGAATTGAGACCAATTCTAATTGAACATGTTAAATTATCTCAAATGTCAACGCTTGCATTTGATATTGGCAGCACAACATTTATAGTTTATCAAAAAAAATTTGAACACAAACTATTCGAGACTTTTTAAGGGGCAGTCGCACTATTCAGGCTTTTCCACTTAAATACGAGCAAGCAGCAGCCTTATTAGATTTTTTGCGAGTTTAGTTGAGACGCAAAATTATTTTGAACCATTTCGATCAGCCAGAGAAGCAATTTCCTTTTTCCTCTAAGCTTGAAAGTGCAATTTTTGGATAATTTTCTTTTTCAGGGTACTTTTCACGTACAAAATAGGTTTGCCATAGAGGTCAATTAAATTCTATCACCGCAGAAAAAGAACAAAATGGAAGTTGCTTTCTTTTGTTCAAAGTAAGGAAATAATTATCCACTATGGAAACAAAATGCTGTCTTCCTTATTCAAAACTGCTTTTCTATTTTGAAGGAAGGAATCAGCGATAATTGGAAACAAAATTGTACATGTGAATGTAAATTTATATAAATTTATGTCGCCTTCTGTAGGTGTACAATCATGGAATAAAATTATACTACACCAGAAAGCGGGGAAGTCACTTGTGTAATCCAGATACCTGCTTCCTGTTAGATTTGGCATATTTACAAAAGCCCTTCATTTTGAAATTGAACAAATAATTAGGACTATAAACCAGCAACCTTGCTTTCTTGGAGCGCGTGGACGCGTGATCAGGTTTTATTGCACGGAATATTCCAGAATATCAAAATGGATTTGAAGAGAGTTCAGCGACAAAATGAGGACAGCCGGCAAAGACAGGTAATTTGGAGAGTTTAATTTAATCACTGATATCCTACCCCCCCCCCCCCCCCCCACATACACAATTACAAAAACACACACAAACATTCATCTACACACTCTCACACACATAGAGCAAATGGCTGTCTTGCCGAAACTCTTGAAAGAAAAAATAATTACAAAAATGTTTTAAAATCTTGCAAGAAATAAACGTTAGCCATTTAGTGAAAACTTTGCTCCTTAAAATAGTAAATATGATAAAGCGTTATCAATTTTTGTACCCTGCAATGAAATTCCCCGATTTTATGAAGACAGCTGTAGAAAAATTGGTTCGGTTGTTCAACCAAAAATGCGTTCGTTAAATCAAACCAAAGGGGAGGGGGCCAAAAAGCCAACACCCCCCCCCCCCCCCCCACCCGCTCGAAAATGGGTCATCCACCAGCCCCTTAAGTCCACCCCTGAGTTTTTTGTACCATTTTTTGTCCTCAAAAATAAAATAATCTAGAAAAATTCAATCTAAAACCATATAAAACACTAATCTTTATCTACATACTTAGTGCAATTTTCTTGAAAAGCCAATATACCCAATCCCATTAGCAAGTTATGGGAACTATTGCTCATACTCAAATACAAAAATTGCGGCTTCTGTTTTCAATGTTTTTTTTTCAGCGAGACACCTTCAAAATATCAGTCTATAAATGCTACTGCATTCACGATTTCGATTGCTTTGATAGCAAAACAAGCAGGGGCGACAGGACAAAACGTAGAAAACAGACAAAGAAAACATTTTTTAGAAAAAAAACTCAGGGCTGTGTGATAAAATATTACTTTGCTACAGCTAACTCTACTTAATACAATTAAAAGAATAAAAAGATAAAAGTAAATTAATCTGAAAGTTAAAACCTTAAAAAGTGAGAGAGCATTCTCTCCACCGGAGAGAATGGAAGT